GGAAAGAAACCAAATAATGCAGGGTGTGGTTAAATTTTTGGACTTTTGTACTAAGAGTAATGGAAAACCATGACAAGATTCAAATTGGGAAATAATATGATCAGATTCTATTTTCTAAAAGAATCTTACATACTAATATGCATTCACAATTGATAATTAACAAAGGTCCAAAGGAAAATACACAGAGAAAGAATAATCTTCTCTACACGTGGTGCTAAAATATTTTGCATAAAAACTCAATCTTTGTATATAAAAATCAATTAAAAATGGATTACAGACATAACTGTAATAATGAAAATTGTGAAACTTCTAGAATAAAGAGGCAAATCTTTATGATATTGAATTAAAAAATATTTCTTAGATCAAATATCAATCTTGTTTCGAAACTTTCTTTTACTTTTTTTCTCTTTAAAATAAAATTTAAGGGGCTGGGGAAATGGCTCAGTGGAATAAGCACTTCCCTGGCAAGTGCAAGGGTCTGAGTTCAATCCCCAGTTCCCCCCTCCCAGAAAAAATAATAATAAAATAAAGTTTAAAAAAGAAAAAAATATCAAAAGCATAATCTTCAAGTGACATCATCAGAATTAAAGCTGTCTACTCTTTAAAGACATTGGTGAGAAAATAAATAAAAAGACAGGGGAAAATATTATTAAATTTTATTTCTATTGTAGATTATTTTCAAAGTACATAAACTAAATTTCTCAGAATAAAATAAAACCTGACAAAATTTTGAAAAAAACTAAAAAATTTGAGCAAAATATTGATCTAAGAAAATATATGAATGAAAACTAAATACCTAAAATATCCTATAATGGTATTTACAGGATAAATGCAAAATAAATGATAAATATTTATCCATCTAATTAAATGCTAAAATTAAAATATTGACCATACCAATTGTTGATGCAGATGTAGAAGAACAAGAATTGTCATGTAAGTGGAAATGTAAACTACTATAACCACTACAGAACACTTTGACAGATTCTTCAGAGATTATATATATATATATATATATATATATATATATATATCCTGTGACCCACCCATTCCACTATGAAGTATTTATTTACCTTATTTACCTGAGAGAAATGAAAGCATATGTTCATAAGAAAACTTTGGTATGAATATTCATGACATCTTTACTCATAATAGTCTCAAATTGTAGAAAATCCAAATATCTTTCAACAAGTGAGTGAATACAGAGAGCAAATTGGTCAAGCAATGGCCGTGACTCATTCACATGGCTGACACTGACAAAAGATCTACAAACTGTTGTACAGTGTTTCAGGGTAATTCTAAGGGGATTTGACTGACCTTGTCTGATACAAAAGTTACAATTTTTTTGTTATATAGGTCTTGCTTTATCTTGGTCTTGACCATCTAGCAGAAAAATATAAAAATGAGGTAAAAAATGTAAAGCCATATTAATATGCTGAGCTGTAAAAGGCTCAAGTCAACAACTTCTGACATTGCCAGTCATGCAGATAACCCACTACTATTTTAGACTACTAGAGTATATTGGATTACTTTGCTGAATTTATGCACCTACAATATATGAATGGCAATGGAATAATCCATCTCTAACAAAATAAACAAAAAGGGGGATATAAATGAAAGACCATTTTGTAGTGAAAAAAATATATATATATATCTGTATATACAAAATAGCATAGATATACAGATACTTTCTCTTAGTTCAATGAATGTTTAGACAAGATATCATGTCTGCATCTTGTACTATGAATAATTACTACAAAGACAATATGCAATATATTAATTGTTGTAACTATCCTACTAATCTGTTTTGAAACTGTCTCATTGCTACTTCTTTCTCAATAAAATTAACTTAAAAAACAAGTGAGTGAATAAACAAAAGTGTAGTCCAGCAACACAATGGAATATAACTTAGAAATACAGCAAAACTGGCAATGTAGTGCTATACATAACAGCTTGAATGGATTTCATAGATGTTATGCTCAGTGAAAGATAAAGACAGAAAAAGAGCAAGTTACATGATTCCATTGCTATAAAAATGTAGAAAATAAAAACTCACCTGCATAGAAAGAAAATATCACAGTTGGCCTGAAGGGATGTGATTTAGGGAAGAAAAATGGAAGAATTTTTTAAAATGATGGATATTTTTATTCACTATCTTGATTGGGTGATGGTTTCATGGGTTTCTGCATGCTATTAATAATTTCCAAATACTTAGCAATTCGTACTTTAAATATATGTAGTTTATTGCATGCCAATTATACCTTAATAAAATTGTTTAAAACATACTTCTGAATACTGAATGTAGAATCCATTCTGACAAAGTAAAAATAGAAGCAGGGAGACCATATACAGTTGTTTTGTATGAAAAGAATGCTCTTGAATCAGTTCACAAGTAGGAAACATGAAGAGAAGTGATCAGATTTGTAACATATTGGAAGATAAAATTCACAGAACTTGGCAAATATCCAACATTTTCCAAAGATGAATTCATTTTTCCAGATGGAAAAAGGGAATGTTATTCCATTTACAAAATCTGCTTGAAGTTGCAGAGGAAGCCCATGATAGACATTTAGTCACAACTAGATTAACCTGAAAAGATACCCCTGATAGTGCTAAAAAAATTGCAAAGAATAGGAGAAAGAATAAATTAGAAATCTGCTATATATATTGAATTTATGTAATATCATTTAATATCTGTTTCTTTAACAACATGAAAAAAATAAGACTTGAGACAATGGGTTCAGAGTTTAAAATTCAAATAAAGACTGAAGTTGCTGGCACACATCTGCAATCTCAACACTCTAGGAGGCTGAGGCAGGAGAATCACAAGTTAGAGCCTAAGCTATTCAGCTTAGTGATTCAGTGAGACCCTGTTTCAAAATTTTAAAGAAAGTCTGGGGATATAGCTCATTGTAGCAGCCCTAGTACTACAATCAGTCAATCAAGCATATTCCTATACTATGCTTAGAGTTATTAGCTTTCTTGACACTGATACAACTGTTGATAGTTTGTTTCACTCTAAAGAGAAATTCTTCAGATTTTTAGAATGGTGTCTCATTTAAAAATTTGTTCTAGACACATATCTCTTATTTTTACATCTTTTTTTCTGAGGGAAAAAGCAATTAGGTACCATTTTTTGATGAGGAAACTGTGAAGACAATTTTGGAGCTGTGAAGACAACATAAACTTTAGAATCTTTCTAACCTGGATTTGAATGCCTCTTGGATTGCCATTTATTCAAAGGGTAACCTTAGAAAATTGTTTCTCATCTTAATTTATTTTCTTTATTTATTTTGTGATATTGGGGGTTGAACTCATGATCTTTGACCAAGCTACATTCCCAGACTTTTTTTGAGACAAGTTATCACAAGTCTTTAAGTTGCACAGGCTGGGCTCAAATTGTGATCCTCTTGCCCCAACCTTCCAGTGTTACAGCTGTGTGCCTCCATGCCTAGCTGAGATTTATTTTTTAAAATAGCTTATAGGTTTTATAAGACCACTTCTTTAGCATAACGAGTGATCTGTGAGATACCTAAAAAAAAAGTCATGATTGTGATTTGCCCAGGTATGGCTGCAACTATTGAAATATCAGTAGATGAGATTTCAGCTCCTTTAAAGTGAAAAGGTCCTCTCAGGTCTTTGTGTTCTAGAAGGTCCATTTATAGCCCTTTTCCAAGTTCCTATGAGATTGTTGGAGTCTAGGTAATACAGCAATAGGGTCGAAGACTGGTTTAAGTTTTTCAATGTGGAACACAAGAACAAATTATATCCTTGATTTGGCTTATTCATCTGTATAATAGAGCTGATCATACTCTTTTTTGCCTGTAGCTTTGAGTTACCATCCTTGGTTAAGGTTCGTAAATGTCCATGATGTTTTGCTGTGCTACAATAAATAAAGCTATAATCTTTTTTATGCTGTAAAAGCCTGTAAAATGTGGAAGTGTCTCAGAAGAAAATCTCCATGTGTCATTTGGGAAACAAAGACCTGTGCAGATGCAGAAATCTTAGGAATTTGAAAGCTAGGGAGGCCCAGGACTTTCCTAGTAGGGTATCTTCCTTCCAAGTCTACCTCTCCTTCTCTTCTCCCTTTCCTTTCCCACTTGTCTCTTCTACTTTACACCGGAGCTCTGGGAATTCCCTCATAAGCCAGCCATATATTGGCTGCATTTCTTGTATTATTGGACCCTTTGGAAACTTAAAATATGTAAAGACAGCTTAGAAATCCACTAGCTTGTGTGCAAGTAAATGTTTGAAAAGGTCTAGATAAAACCAAGAACAAATATATACAGGGAAAATGTTTATGCTGTGTGTGCGTTTGCCTGTCTCCATGAGTTTGTCCTTTTCAAGTTTGGATAGGTGAAAAAATGCTGTTTAGAGGCAATTCCAGACAGGAAAAAGGGACAGAGACCAGAGTAGAAATGAACTCTAGTTCCTGGTTCTGAGGGTTCCTAGAGCAAATGGTACCTTGCCAACAGGTCCAATTTTGCCCTATGGAGGAATCTCAAAGATTTTACTATCTGCTGGGATGGCGGTAGATTGCTCCTTAATATGGTATGTTGAAGTCGTTCCCTTGTATAGGACCCTATAGGCGCTGAAAAGAAGCCCTGGCAGGCATTAGTAAGCACTCCAACCCCTTCCCTCCGCAAGCGTCTCTCTTGGGAATGGCCTTTGGAATCAAATCTACTTAGTGCTGGTCTTTTAGTTGCCCTGTTCTTAAAATAAAGCTCCAAGCTAAAGCTTCTGCTGGAGTGCCTAAAGTGTAGTACAGGAAAATAGGGGTATTCAGGAGCAGGGGTCTTCTAGGGCTTGAGAGAGCCTCTCTGGCTCTTACCCACACTGAGCCAGCACTTGTTTCTCCAGAAAAGCAGTGCTAGCTTGCGGTGAGGGGAGGGGAGAAAAAGAAAGGGGAGGGCAGGGAGAAAGGAGGTGGGAAGGCAAGGAGGCCCGCCTGGCGGGGGCGGGACAGACTCGCAAACTGTTGCATTTGCTCTCTACCTCCCAGCGCTCCCTCGGAGATTCCAGGGAGTCAGCCTGCAGGGAGAGCCAGAGGGGTCCGGAGCAAGCCTGGAGGCTGAGGAGGCGAGTGAGGGAAAAAGATCGAGCAAGTGGCTCCGGTGCCGAAAACAGGAGACGAAGGAACGCACAGCGCCAGCCCCAGCTCGACTCTGACTGCTGCCAAAGCCTGTTGCAGCGCGGCGGCTTCGAAGCCGCCGCCCCGGAGCTGCCCTTTCCTTTTCGGTGAAGTTTCTAAAAGCTGCTAGAGACTAGAAGGAAGCCAGGAAAGTGCCGGGTAGGACTGACCGCTGCCTTTGTCCTCCTCTCCTCCACCCCCACCCCTGTCTCCACTCCCACAACTGCTTCTGCCTGCTACTCTCCGTCTGCCCCCACCTCTCCCCTTCACCCCAGTCTGCACAGTGCTGCCCTCCGGTTTGCAGAGGTTTCTCCCTTAGGCTGAGAGCTGGTGATCTAGCTGCACGTTGCAAAGAAAGCTTTTGGAAACCTGGAGAGTGGGGAACTCTTTGGGCTATAGCGCTGCAGCCAGGACCTGGCTCATTAAGCAGCACGGAAGGAGTGCCCCTTGTACACTCCCTCTTCACCTCTTCCTGCCTTCCCCAACCCCCACTCAAGAGTGCGGAGCCAAAAATCAAAAGATGAAAAGACTCTCAGGGCTTCAGTAGTTTTACGCAAAACAAAACCAAATAATAATAATAAAAAAACAATTATTATTTGCACCTGCTTCACTGGAGCTTGAACTTGGAAAACAGAGGACCCTTTCCCCAAATTTTTGAGCATCTTTTGACTACCCTTTAAGTGTTCAGGGACAGACTCAGAGCCTAAGCCAGGTTGATCCTACCCCTGCTCAGTTCGTGTCTTTCTCTGTATGACACTTTGAGGCTGTCTGAGCGCTTTTTGCTTCTTTTATTTTTGTTGTTGCTTTTTTTTTTCTCTCCTGCAAGTTTTCTTCTCTAGAGCTTTCATCAGGTGGGCAGCTAGCTGTGGCGATCTCATCATCACAGCCTGTTGAACTCTTCTGAGCAAGACAAGGGAAGAGAGTGTAAGGGAATTAGATCAAAGAGTCAGCCAAGCTCTAGGATGGAGGTGCAGTTAGGGCTGGGGAGGGTCTACCCCCGGCCGCCGTCCAAGGCCTTTCGAGGAGCTTTCCAAAATTTGTTCCAAAGCGTGCGAGAAGTGATCCAGACCCCGGGGTCCCGGCACCCTGAGGCCGATAGCACAGCACCTCTAGGCGCCCATTTGCAGCAGCAGGAGACCAGCCCCCGGCAACCGCAGCAGGGTGAGGATGGCTCTCCCCAAGCTCACATCAGAGGCCCCACAGGCTACCTGGCCCTGGAGGAAGAACATCAGCCTTCACAACAACACTCAACCTCTGAGGGCCACCCTGAGAGGGGCTGTCTCTCAGAGTCTGGAACCTCTGTGCCCACCAGCAAGGGGTTGCCGCAGCAGCCGCCAGTACCTCCGGACGAGGATGACTCAGCTGCCCCATCCACGTTGTCTCTGCTGGGCCCCACTTTCCCCAGCTTAACCAGCTGCTCTGCCAACCTTAAAGACATCCTGAGTGAAGCCAGCACCATGCAGCTTCTTCAGCAGCCACAGCAGCAGCCGCAGCCACAGCAGCCTCAGCCTCAGCCCCAGCCGCAGCAGCCACCGCAGCAACAGCAGCAGCAGCAACAGCAGCTAGAAGTGGTATCTGAAACCAGCGGCAGAGTAAGAGAGGCAGTTGGGGCTGCCACCTCTTCCAAGGACAGTTACCTAGGGGTCAATTCCACCATATCTGACAGCGCCAAGGAGTTGTGTAAGGCAGTGTCTGTGTCCATGGGCTTAGGTGTGGAGGCATTGGAGCATCTGAGTCCTGGGGAACAGCTTCGGGGAGACTGCATGTATGCTCCGCTCCTGGGAGGTCCACCTGCTGTTCGACACACTCACTGTGCCCCACTGGCCGAGTGCAAAGGTTCTCTGCTGAATGACAGCCCAGGCAAAGGCACTGACGAGACTGTTGACTATTCCTCTTTCAAGGGAGGTTACTCCAAAGGACTAGACGGTGAAAGCCTGGGCTGCTCTGGCAGTAGCGAAGCAGAGAGCTCTGGGACACTCGAACTGCCCTCCACCCTGTCTCTCTACAAGTCTGGAGCACTGGAGGAGGCAGCATCTTACCAGAGTCGCGACTACTACAACTTTCCGATGCCCCTGGCCGGGCCTCCACCCCCTCCACAACCTCTCCATCCGCACACCCGCATCAAGCTGGAGAACCCACTGGACTACAGCAGCGCCTGGGCTGCCGCAGCTGCACAGTGCCGCTATGGAGACCTGGCGAGCCTGCATGGCGGGGGTGCCCCAGGACCCAGCTCTGGGTCACCCTCAGCCACTGCCTCATCTTCCTGGCACACTCTTTTCACAGCTGAGGAAGGCCAGTTGTATGGACCGTGTGGAGGGAGTGGCAGCGGCAGCGCCGGAGAAGCAGGCTCTGTAGCCCCCTATGGTTATGCTCGGCCACCACAGGGGCTGGCGGGTCAGGAAGGTGACTTTCCTGCAACCGATGTGTGGTACCCCGGTAGCATGGCCAGTAGAGTGCCCTATCACAGTCCCAGTTGTGTCAAAAGCGAGATGGGACCCTGGATGGAGAGCTACTCCGGACCTTACGGAGACATGCGGTAAGTTTCTCTTTCCAGAACTGTAGCCTTTAGGCCCAGGGCACAAAGTAGCTCTGCTTTCTTGGGAATCTCATAAGCTAGCTATTCTTCCTCCAGAGAACACTTAGACTCAGGGGTCTCAACCCAGCCCTATAGGAAAAGCTGCCCTAAACCTGAAGCCTTTCGTTGGACTCTCCTCCTGTCAACATTTAAAGCAGAGTCTTTGCTGCTCGCCCTAGGCGCTGGTTAGTGTCCTTCCAAATTCCAACTCCCCCAGCAGCCTAAAATGTTCTACCTTCTGGCACTCCGGGTCCCGCAGGCTCCAAACCTGATTGCACTGATCACTTTCAGCGAATAAGCCCTGTAAACCCTCCACTTCTTTTTTCCTTTCCAACCTCAAAGTCCTAGGACCTCAAACAAAAATAGGAACAATTTCTCTTCCTTGGGTCAATTATTGTTCATCTTTTAGGCCATAGTCAGTCTGAAAAATACTGGTCGAAAGACCAGCCAAGTGGTCTTAGCTCCGTCTCCTCCAAAGAGACAGAATGGAATTCCCGTTAAAAAAAATAACGTAGTTTCTGGGTGCTGAGGGGCCCTGTTGAGAGAGTGATACGCCTTCCCTGGAAGCAACTAATGGTGTTTTCCATCCAGGGCTGGAGGTCCGTGGGCAGAATCCAACCAGGCACTTTTAGAGCAGGTAGAGAAGCAAATTTCTTGGTAAAGCCTGGGCAAATTTTGCTACTACTACTTTCTTATCATTGGTTGATTAAGTTAGAAGGGATTGCTTGGGTCTGTTTTATCTTGCAAAGTGTTCTTGCTGTGTATTATTATAACAAATCCACAGCCCCCTACTTCAAGTTTGCATCAGATCCACAAGAAGGAGAATGGTCTTTTAATGAAAATATGGTCAGATTTGAATCTAATTTATGAAACTGTTGGGAGAAAATTTTATATTTCCAGCTATTCTAGTATGCTCATAAATCTGTACAGGAAGAGAGATTTAGGCACTTCATTATATTCTTTCATTTTAAGGACATGCCTACATTTTGAAAACATTTGTTGGTGGTAATAAAGGGAGTAAACCCTGCATGTGACCTATGAGCCATAATCTTGCCTCAGAGTTTTAATTAGGGCATGAGAAAAGTGGCCAGAATTTATTAAAAAATTCTATCTGTCTTTTGAATTTCTTATATACTGTGTTGAAGTTTGTTTGTTTGTTTTCTCCTCTGCAAGTTAGGATATTCATTTATCTGGTGAGAAAGAGTATTTACTGGAGAATACTCAGGTCGTAGATCAGGTGCTAAGGACCGCATGGACTTCTATCTTATTCTATGTTACCATAGGTATTTTCTTTTACATGAGACTTTTTCAAAATTTGTGTACACTAGTATACTACTTTGTTGACTTAAAATCTAACAATTTCCCTCCTTTAATCTGTGCTTCTGTTCTTGGAGCATGTCAGAAATGTTAGAAAACACAGAAGGACATGGCTTCATAAAATAGTATTTTCCTGATGTCAGAGTAACTGTCTCTTCCTAGGCTTCACTTTCTATTAGGATTTTATGGTTTGGCTTACAAGATTTTCAAAAGGTTCTTTTAATATTATTAAATTTTTTTCCAGTGAATTTAGAGTGTTTATTTTGCAATGGGCTGTATTGGGGTATAAAAGATCTTCATTTTATGAGAACAGGTTTACTTGGTAGGGTTTTTTTTTTCCTCTCTGTGTGTATATGGTGATCAGTAGAGTTAAATCTCTCTTCTAATCTGGGGGGAAATGTCTAAGGTGTTTCTTGATCTACAATGATTGGATACAAATCCAATCACTGGAAACTTCCATCATCTGCATGTCCTACCACTTAAATTGAAGAGAGGAAATGGTTGTTTGCTTAGAAATATGTGTCTTCAAATTTACAGCCTTTCAACCAAGCAGCTATAGGGAGCAAAAGTTCTTTCAATCAGGTTGATAATAAGCTTGGTGATTTTATTCTAAGTCATACTGAAAAATATTTCTCTATCAGGAAGACCATCATAGCTTGATTTCTCCTTGATACTGCTCAACTAGTGAGAATTTAGCAATACCCAGAAAGTACATTATTTTCAGTTTTCCTGGTTTGTGATCATTGAACTGGATATGAAGAGTCTAGTAAGAGGTAAAACTGATGGTTCTGCTAGGTCAGTTGACAATTTCAGTTTCTAGGATACAGAAAATCTTTGAATAAGTTTATTAAAATTAATTAATTTAATCAGGATGCAATCAGTTTCTCACTAAAAGTTGAAATACTTTTTTTTTAACTTCTACTGTCCCTAAATTCGTAGGAGCACATAGATTCATAGGATTTTGATGAAAAATCAGTAGATTTTTTAAAGCCCAAATGGAGAGCTTCCTCCCTCTCTGTATTACATGCATTATGTGCTGACTTTAAGTCTCAAAATTCTAGAGGCTTCCATAAACCTGTTGTGTTCCTTCATTTTCCTTCTGTGTAACTGCTCATGCACCTTAGCTAACTGGTTGAGGGATTTTTTTAAAGCCTTAGTAATTTCCCCAATAACTGCATTCATATACGTCAATAATGTTTCTGCAGAGAGCAGGACAGAAGCCCAAGGTGGTCTTAGTTTTACTTACTTTAGAATGTGTTTTGAACAGAAGGAATAATAAAAAATGATGGGGCTTGTTTGCAACCCTGATGGTATTTTATAGAGCTGTCTTCCCAGAGAGATCAAAGACTGACCTTAATTGACTGCTGCCCCCTTCCACAGAAATAGAGCCCCTTATATCTTAGGGAGCAGCACAAATTATATGGCAAATATTTATTCTTGAATGTTTGAGCCCAAGGGAGCCAATGTAGGAATAAATAGTTGGAGGTTAGAGAAATTCTTCAAATGTAAAAAGACACGTTTTCTTTTAGTAGTATGTTATAGTCTTCAAATAAATAATATTTTAGTGGTGCTTTGAGATTGGCAAATCCTGCCTTTAGCTATTATATTTTTCAAGATATAGCATTTTATTCATTCCTCTTTTTATTTCCACTCCATGCCCCATTTATCAAGCAGTTTTTTTCATGAGTACATTAGAAAGAGCAATTTGTTTTGTAAAGTGGAATTTTTACTTTGGGATGAAGGCAAACTAATGGTTTCTGTAGGTAGGCTTGAGGTCACTATGTTAGGCAGACGCATCCTTTCTCTGGGGTTAGCAAATTTTTGTGAGTTCTGTCTGAATCTCAGTAATAAAAAATAAAAGACAACACAATCACACTCAGTTGCAGTCCCTGATTTTAAGTATCCATATGGTGTAATCATAGAAAATACCTCTTGCTTGTTCACAAACTATCTTTCAGCTCAGCAAAGATAAACATCTGTGGGAAATGTTTTCAAAGAAGCTTGCAGCCTTCCAATTGCAGGGTCACTTTGGAGTGCTTCCTTATCAGCACTAATTTTTCCTCATCAGAGTATAATTCTTTAAGCTGTAAATTTTGAAATTATATATTGAATTTTGTGGCACATATAATTTTCCTTGTTAGCTGTTTTTCTTGCTGTAGTAATTTATTTCATCTGGTACACATCTATGTATTTAAACAAAAAAATATCTTTGGTCTTTTGACTCACACATGTACCTTGATAGGATCATGTGAGTTGCATGTGGATAATTTTATTATTATTACTAATGGTGATATCAAGAAAACCAATTTCATTCAGAAATCTGCTCATACGGAGAACAGAATGTGGGTCATGTGTCACATGAAAGGGGTTTCTTTTATAGCCAAACCTGAAATCATGTTTCTGAAAAAAATACAAAGCAAACAGAAAAATCAAGTTCTGTGAGGCTGGTGATAGAGACAAAAGGAATTCTTCCCATACCCCCAACCACTACCATTTTCTCTTTGTCTGCAGCTTCCTTAAGTGCTGCTTATCCAGAATTTTTCTTTTTTTCCATTCCTTTCAAGATTATAACATTGAAATATTCTTCTTTCTACTTTTCAGGATATTTTTTCTCATTGGACCTGTGACAAACTCCTAAAACTTTTTCTTTAGAAAACTTTGGATAGCAACAGATCAAATCAACTGTAGCATCTTTTTCTGAAGACTGTAGCACCAGGTTCTGAGGAGATTGCAATATAAATGGCAGAACATTTTAAACTTGAGGTTAGAGGGTGATTCAACAGTTGTAGAAGGAATAAAACTGTATGGCTTGAGGACTTAGAAATGTGTCTACTGTCCCTATTGATAACCTTCTCTCAGGCCCTAAGAAAAATGGGACCCTTTTTACTTTCCACACTGCTCTGGTTGAGAAATGGGTGTGCACTAGCAGGCCCTAATATGCATGTGAGGGTGCTCATAGATGTGTCCAACTGGAATGATTTGCTCAAGCTACATGTAAATCAATGATTTGAAAACTAAAAACAAGATTAAAGAAATTATTCTACTTCAGTGTGTCCCTACCAGCATTCCACCAAGGTTTGAGATGTTGATTCAAACTGTCATCCTCATCCTATACAGAACTAACTTTTAATTGTAAAGTTCTCTACAGTAACCAACATTGGTTGTCCTTCATAGGGAAGAAAATTTATGAAATCTTAAAGTTATATGGTATTTTTTTAAAAAGAAATCTCAGTATTTTTCAGTTTATTTACAAGTTCTCTTGTAAGTTTGAGTAGACTAGGGTGAGTTGTAATTGAGGGAAGAGAAACAATTGTATTTTCCATGATATTCATTTACCATCTGGGGAAACTTTGGAGAAGAACTTGCAGCTTTTTCTTCTGGAAACTTCCCGCTTGATTCTAATAATAATTTGCTCAACAAGGGCTACATTTAATGATTTTTTAAGGTGACAGTATGTGAATTACTGCTTGCATACTCATGAGTGATGCCACCACTTCACTCTAAAACTGATTCTTGCTTCTAATCAGCAAGCCTCATAAGGGTTAAAGGTGGCTCATTTAGAAAAATTCACAGTATTAAAATTTTGGTCACTGGAGAGTGCTTTCAATGTAGATAATGTGGTGTCTGAATTTTGTTTTATCTAT